AAAGACTGTCCGTAGGATTTTCAAGCCATCCCGTCTTTACGATTTTTGATCGCTGCGACTAAACTGCTTGGACGACCGTTTCTGCGTGAGAATCGCTCATCGTTTAATTACCGGACATACCCAAAGCGATTTCGTGGACGCTCGTTTACCACACCGTTATAAGCACTTTTGGAAAATTCGCACTATGCAATTGTTTGAAGTGCATTTAAGAAAGTTCGAAGTGAAATGGCGCCATATGTTTTAACGTTACATCAAACGCGAAAGAATATGGATTTACACCTATCCCGGTGTATACCGACGTTCTTCTACCAATGCAAGTTGACATTTGCAATTAAATCGACAACTGGTTCCTAAAGTTATGAGTCTTTAGCCATTGGTAGGCATATACGTTAGCTTCATAACAGTAAGGCCATGCTTTTGGCTTTGTTAAATTTTTGAGTGTATACTTCAACAACGAGCCCTTGTCTGCCAATCTGCGAACGATTATACATATATACCTGAGCAGCCGATATTGCAGCTCTGCTTCAGAAACTATAGCAAGAACATCCAAAATTTGATCACATTTATTAGCATGGAAACTAAGTTTTTTGCAACTGCTTTCATAACTTAACTCTCTTCAGATGTGGCGCATTCGAACTTTGGCAATATATACAACGCAATGTGTGTTAGGACTGCGCACAACTGTTTGGATTTTTGTTTGGATTTGAATACGAATTAGAAAAATTTCAGGCACTTTTCGAAAACTAATAAATTTTGAGGATTTTGTTTTAATTAAATCAGCAAGAAAAATGAAATTTAACGACATGTCGAGAATTGGCGTACTCACAAAAGTAAGCGAATCTGCTATACGCAAGGGCGCTGGAGACAGCAGTCAATGATTGGGGCGTCAGAAGCTCAGAATTCGCTGAGACTACACATAGTAAGGTTATTTGACCTGCCAAACACGAATATCATAACCATCTGGTAAAATAACATAACGCTTCTTTCCTTGTTTAAGGTGAGACCCTATATTGTAAACCTACAGTAATTTTACAAAAAAACCCTTATCACGCAACTTAGTATCGTTTTCGTGATCAGCATGTTGGATAACCCCACTATGCTAAGTTTCAGCCAAATCTCTCAATTTTCAAAATTTTCCCCTTTATCCCGTACCAGTGCGTCACCTCCGCTTCGCGGAGGTTCGCATGGCTTTCTATCCGTATGCCTTTCTCATGTTCGCATGAGATTGGCTTTGAAACTCACCACGCTGCTGAGCATCATAAATTAATTGTAAACAACTGTTCATTCATGAAGCATCTCCATGTAAGATCGGTAATTCTTAGAAAATAAAACTTTGTTGCAAGGAAACAAATGCGAATTTGAAAGGATCACTGGATTTATTCTAGTTTGGCTTTGGCCATACTTTGCCCGTGTTGCCGATGTTTCCAGTGTTACTCGTGCAACCGGTGTTGCCGATGTTACCAGTGTTACTTGTGTTGCCAATGTTTCCAGTGTTACTCGTGATTCTAATGTTACCGCCTTCATTGCTATTGATTCTTAAAATGATCGTCAGTACAGTTTCATTTTCTCGGTAACGTCGATAATATCGGCAACACGAGTAACACGCGTAACACTGGAAACATCGGCAACACGAGTAACACTAGAAACATTAGCAACAAGGGCAAAGTATGGCCAAAGCCTTTGATGATCGTTATAAGGATAATAGTCACCTATGGCTACATTTCGGTGCAAAAATCTTTTCAGATTTTTCAAATAAAACCTTGCCAAAGCGACTATCTGCGCGCTTATCAATTTTTGGCGCTGTTTCCGAGAAAAGCAAACTTTTTGAGCATTTTTTGGGCTAGAATTCATGGCGCGCAGAGTTACTTGTCAGACAAATCATAACTTTGCAAAAAGTCGAATTAGCAACCCAGTTTTGCGTGCCAAAAGGCGCGTGGACCACACGTAAAATTTTGAGGGACCCACTTATCGAACCGGCTCGTCCTTTCGTCCTTGTGCATGGTGGGCCTACACGCTGGCACGGTATGCTATGCAAAATTGCAGCCCGATAGCTTAGTTGCAGCTTCCTCTATAAACTTCGTGACAGACAGATTTTCACACAGACACACACAAACACACAAAAAAAAACAGACGGCCTTAGCGCGTTATTATAGTAGGATACCCACCGCAATTTCAATGCGACGCAGAATTTGGCAGAGCAGCACTTGCTCTTGCAGATTACGTCGTGACCTGTACAATGACAAAATTTGAGTGCGCCAGGTTGAGAAAGAAAAAATTATTGAATGAGTTGCAAAACTTAGTTTCCAACTCAATATTTGTTGTTAATGAACAAGTACAGGAGAAGAAGTGAATTGCGAGAACAGTGAATGGTAGCACATAGGGTGATGTAACAAATAAGAACCATTCCATACTACGTAGTACGAGCGTGCTGTTTCTAATTATTAGTGTGAAATATTCGATGACCATCCTTCTTTCATGCAGAGAGTTCTTAATGAGATTCGCATTTGCAAAAAAGTACAAAGCACCTCACAAAAAAACCTAAGTTTTAACTCTTTAGGCGAACTGGTGGGAGTTCGCTTTGCAACGATTCGCGCCGTTTCGCACTTTGCATCTCTTCATTCTGATTTATCTCACTGAGCCAGTGGCGGTGCGGACGCGCTGTTCCTCTTGGAATGCTCACCTACTCCAAATTGAAAAGACTGCAAGTTCTTAGGTTCAGCCTGAAACTGAGTTCCTGGCGCGAAGCAATGGTACAACCTAAAATCTTGGATCTTAAATCCCAGCAGATTTCCGCCTGGGTGATAGAGGTGTGGTGGGGTTACTGGCCACCCTACTAACCTCGAGACCCAGTTCGGGTGGTTGATGTTTCCCCCGCGCCGAGAAATTAGCCTTCGAACAGCCGCGTGCTCGAACGCCTTTGCTTGTCTGCTGGCGCGGGACCTCACACGATCGCTCCCGCATTGTGCGTGCTATCCAAAGTAAAAACTACCGGCAACAAGGTCTTCGTGCCGAGGCCTCTCAACTTCTCATGTCCGAGCTGCTCTGGTGAGCGCCACAAAATGGCTTTTTCATCCGAGCTAAAATTCGGGTTCCGTATTGAAAATGCCTAAAATATGCAGAGAAAAGGAAGTGCAAAATTCTCCGGGCCACTGCCTTCAAGCAGGGTTCATACTGTTCCGTAACTTACGAATCACTATTTACCCAGCAGTGGCGCGCCCCCCCCCCCCCGAGAACGGGTCGCGAAATTTTTGAAAGCTTACAAGGGTTATAAAAATGTGCAAATGACTTGTTTATTTTTGTAAACAATTGAAATAATTTTTAAAAATTTTTAGAAATTCAAATTAGCCTTGTAAAAAAAAATTTTTCGGGGGCGTGGCTGACGCCACGCCCCCTTTTTCCAGATTTTAGGGGTTGAGGACCCGCAAAAATTTTGAGAAGCACCCCTAAAATTTTTTCGAAGTGCGTGGCTAACGGCCAAAAAAGATGATGTTCTTTATAATTCTAAAGCATTACTGGATTTTTCCTTTGTAATAAAATCGTTGTTCTGAAAAAGAAAAACTTATATGATGAGAAAAATGATAGTTTTTTGATAAAAAGTGAAATTTTTGAATTTTTCGCCTGACGTAAACTGTGTGTTATCGCCGCAAATCGCCGTGCTTTCTGACCTGCCGGCAGCTGCCATCTCGCGGATTTTGACGAGCTGCCGGCAAGTTGCCGGCAGCTCCTTCTGCGCTTCCAGATATTTTCCCACAGGAGGATTTTTAGAACCGCTGATTTCTATGGAGTTTTCTACAGAGTCTAGGCGGCATCTGATATAAATTTAGTGACGATAAGTGATATTAGCACACGATAACCTTTGAATACCACTTCGTAAGTTTAGGCCCAAATATATAATCAAGTGTCTTCTACTGTACAAAAACGACACCAAAAAGTATGGTTGCGTAAATTGTAAATTTGCCAAAATTTTACCTGAGCATTTGATTAGCTTTTTGCACAAAAATGTAGCTCACGGTAATTAATGTTTTTTATGGGGACTACCAAACGCAATAAAAAATTCAAGAACCTTTTCAATTTGAGTTTGTTCTTCTGCAAAAAGTTTCATACACGCAAAACCGACTTCATACAAAAAGCTTCAATGAAGAGTAGTTTACACTTTATTTGTGATATCTGGCATTGCGCGATGAGTTTCAGTGATCATTATGCGAGAATGAGTAGAGCATTCAAATAGTTGAACCATTGCGAGCCTCTGCAAGCAGAGGTGGCACTGGTTATCTAATAAGCTCAACATTGATTTAATTCTTCGGTGGCGGATAGAAACAAAGAAAAGTGGATAGCGTATGGACCTAAACCAGTAACCGCTTTTGCGGAATATCAAAAGGTTTGCAAATGGAACTTTTCAAATGCTTGGAACTTCTACCTTAATCATAATGGTGAAAGGCGATAGCTGAAAAAGCTACAGTCTTTGCTGAAGCCCTTTGACATGACACTTCGAATACTGAAGACATTAAGGCAAAATGTTGAGTACTATGCAGTGCAATTTTAAGTTTATTGCACATAAACTGTTGCTGTCAAGTACTTTTTCTTGAAAAAAACAAAACAACTGCTGCCATATTGGTGGATCAATCAAACCATGCTGTTAGACAAACCCGTTTCGTGCAAATGGACACAGCAGCTATTGTCATACATAATACAAATGGGCAAGATAATTGATTGAATCATGCGCATAATGAATAAGTTGAGCTCTACTTCTAGGCAAAAGCGAACCACTCAAAAGCGCGAACGCAACTCTATAACTCAAGTTACAATTGCCATTTCGCTATACAATTGTAGGGCGTGCGGTCTCGAACGATGATAGTAATGGTATGGAGCATGCGTCACGTGTGCGCCCATTAGACTATGCGCATATTTGTTCTGCAGAACACTTGAGCATGGCTGTGACAAATATCAATATGATAGTACTGTTATAATGTCACTATATTAGTGTCACAAGTTCGTTACAGGAAACGCAAAAAGTGATGCAGAAGATCTATAATCACTTGAAGGATGCCTTTATTGAAATGATCAATGAGAAGCATCACTGGAGCAGCAAAATAAAAGAGGTGCCATTATTGTGTATATTTCTTAGCTTTTCAGCTAAAAATGTATCTGCATGGTTTTTAGGAGGAGAAATTTTTCCCAAGTTCGCAAAGTATAGACCAATTGCTCTGAAAACCAAGGCGCGCAGCGGCTGGAAACGTAGGGTCCAAACGTGAAATAGGTTATTCACGGGCGATAATAAAGGTGCACCTTATTTGTCGCATTTTTATAACTTTCAGAGACACTTTTGGGCTAATACATAATGTTCAATGCCAATGAAAACAACATGGTGCTGACCGGAAAATGACCTATAGTGACGACCGCTCGCCTATGCTGTTGTAAAGCACGGCGCGAGCAGTTAGGTTGTGCAAGTCCCGCAAATTTTGAGTACGCGCCACAAAAAAGACAATTGTCATGTTCTCACAATAAGTGCACTCATTTCATGCCCTTTGCGTCCGTAATAGCATTTGGAATATTATCATGTTCGTTAGCTTAGAATGTTATACAGGGTGTCCCAAAAAATGTGCACACTGTTTGATTGTAAATAACTCTCTTGTAATAAAGTGTTTCGAGAAGCTTTGAGTACCATTTTGCAGAGCGAGGTTCAACTTAGATTTACAGTATAGAGCGAATCGCCGATCTCTCATTCTTACTGTAGGATTAAGTTAGAAACTTTGAAGAGGGTTTTGAGCCATGAAAGGCCATATTTTGTTCCAAAAATGAATCAAAACAACATGTAAAGCCTCACTGGTCTAATTAGAGTTGCTGATTCTAAACGTGAAGTTTGCAACTTTTCATAATGCTTCATTAAAAAATTATGCGAGGTAAGCAATAGCGGCCATTTTTTCAATGTTCCTAAAAAGTGCGGTTACACCGTTTAGAAAGCTTCGCAACCTTGTAAAAAATTGGGTATTGAACTCAGCGTCCGTGAAAACCCTAGTACATAAGTTTCCATGTTTTTTGAAAGTTTCTTTTTTTCACAGTTACACCATATGTTTGAAGTTTCTACCGTAATCCTATAGTAAGAATGAGCGATCGGCGATTCGCGCTACACTGTAAATCTAAGTTGAATCTCGCTCTACAAAATGGTACCTAACGCTTCTCCAAACACTTCATTACAAGAGAGTTATTTACAATCAAACAGTGTGCACATTTTTTGGGACACCCTGTATATTAGAACGCTATTAGAGTAAACGCTAAAAAAATGGGACATCTAGAAAATATGAAGATTTCCCAAGAAAGAAAAGTGAGTGAGATTTCCAATTTCGGCAAATGTTAGCATATATAGTTGTCAGACAACACCTTTATAAGGCCAACAACATACTTTATCCTACTATAATAACGCGCTAAGGGTGTTTACGTGTTTTTGTGTGTGTGTGTCTGAATGTCTGTCTGTCACGAAATTCATAGCGCAAGTTCCAGCCAACGTCCCCAGCCCAACTTTTGCATAGCGTACGCTACCCGCATGAAAGCTCACTATACAAGTGCATGAGCGGATCCGTTGAGTTTATCCATTGAAAATTGCGCATCAAACGGGTCCATCTGGCTTCTGGCCAGCAAATTTGGGTCCGAAATACTACTTTTTGCAGAGTTAAGAATATATTTGGCAAGCTAATGTGCAAGCCATGGACGTTAGCCTAAAAAAGTGATGAAAAGTTCACCACTTTACGAAAACAGCGCCAAAAAGCATTCGCTGTGTAAACGGTCAATTTTTTAAGATTTTACCTGATCGTTTGAGAAGATTTTTGCACAGAGATGTAGCCCACTATGTACTGTCCTTACGGCGACTACCAAGTCATAAAAATTCCAAAAACCTATTCGAATTTGCACTTTTCTTCTGGGAAAGGTTTTATCCACGCGAAAATACTGATCTCACATGAAAAACCTCTACGAATGAGTATTGTTTACGAGTTGTTTGTGATAACCTACATAGCGCGGTGAGTTTCAATGTCATTATTATGCGGGAATGAGTAAGGCATACAGAATGTAGCGCCAGTGCGAGCCTCTGCGAAGCAGAGGTGACGCACTGGTAAATTTTATACTTGTTGAAATGTAAAGCTAGTGGCTTGTGAGACCAGGACTCGGCACGAGGTGGCTAGTTGAAAATGCAAAAAACGAAGTCCCCTTGACTTTTGCAAATTTTTACGAAGTCCCCTTTGACCCTAGGCCAGGGCTCGACACGAGGTGGCGTCCCGAAATTGCAAAAAATGAAGTCCCCTATGGCTTCAATAAAATTACGACATTCACCACGAGATATTCGAAGAGAAAATACATGAAAAGGAACGGAACAAAGCAACAGCAGAAAAAAAACGAAAAAGAATCATCGAGCACACGCGATGATATTCATATTCTCCGGAATGGCGGCATGATGTATCCATGCAGCAATACGCGCCTAGAGCAGCCTTTTCGCGGCCAGTTAAAATTTTAAGGGGCTATAACTAAGCGGGGAGAAGGGAATTTGAGGCGGTTTAGAAACCAGTTTGTAGGGTTTGGGATGTAGATGAAAAGTATGTAAAGAAAGTAGAAAGATTATGTGAGGTAGGAAAAAATTTATGACTTTTTCTTTCCTAAGCCACCTCAGGTGGCTATCCAGGTGGCTTGAAAGCCACCTAACTCCGAAAAAAGTTGAGCACGCCTTTAGTTCACATAATTTTTTCATAATTTTTCATACTTAGTCCTAACTCCCCATTGCCCATCTACACACCTATTTTGGTGTCATTTCATCTTCACTTCGCTGTAAACAAACTTTTTGTTTATTTGCTAACTGCATGCCGGCAGCGTGCCGGCCGCAGACCGAAAGACAACGTTATGCTCTTCCGCAAAAACGATATCCCCTTTGCTTTTTCCCCAAAAACGATATCCAGCTTGCTTGCCAAGCCACCTGTGCCGTGCGCTGTGTGAGACAATCCAAAGTGCCACTGTTACAGTGGATGAACGTACAGCCATCAAATCCACGATAGCTTGCTGAACGCTTATTGAAGAAGTACGTTCATTTTCCGAAACGAAGATGCGTGTTCTTTACTTCTTAGCAAGTGAACGCTTTTTTAGCTACCATTCGATAAAGCTTTTTACGCTTTATCCATGTATACAATTTATCTCAATTTGTCTTTGGGAGATATAGGTTGAAACATGATTTTTTACCGCGCCAAAAAATTGATTTCGAAAAATTCTTTTTCCTTGTCCAGAATTAAGAAGCACCTATAGTTGTTTTTGCTCCACTGGACAAGTAGTGGACGAATTTGAGTTTGAACTAGAACAAAACGCCAACTACGGCTATGGCAGAGCGCGGCATCGTCAATGCATTTCAAGCTAGTGCAATTTTCTTCTGTGTTTTGTTGTCGTTAAACCGTGAATTTTCTCTCTTTTAATGATGCTTGTTATGGAATGAATAGTTCGTTGTTGCTTAGCGATGTCTCGTATTACTGTGCTTGTACTCTGAATTCAATGAAGCAACACTTCAAGACTTACCGTAAAAAAAATTCATCAGGTTTCACTTAATCATTTTTCCAAGCTCAACTTGGATTCGTATCAGGGCCCGGCACGAGGTCGGCAAATGACAAGCTGGAAATCGTTCTGGGGCCAAAAAGCAAAGGGGAAATCGTTTTTGCGGGGTCCGGGGCAGAGCCCCGGAAAAAAATTGGTAGTTCATGCTCGCTACTTATCTTGACATGTTATGTGCCTCAACAGGCGAACACTGGAGTTCGCGCGCGTCAAACCGCGCCGTCGCTAAGTGCCGCACGCGCGACGTCGCCCAAGCGATGCTATTTGTAACTGCATATATGACTAGTTCTCAATGTGTGTGTAACGATATGGCACCAAATTTTGTGTGCGAACGGACAGAGGCTAGTGGAAACATAGTATGAAAAATTATGTAAAACTTATGTGAACGGAACGAGTAATTAGCATTTTTTCCGAGAATTTCGCAAAACTGGTAAATGAAGATGTGAATTCAAACGGCTCGTTTAAACGCGCAGATGAACGATATGGTATGAAACTTGGTAAGTACATGCACACGGGCTTGCAGGACTTAACTGAGGAGTTTCATTGAGAAATTATGTGACTGAAGGTTGTGGCAAACTTTTTTCTGGAAATTTTGCGCTACCCAAGAAATGGAAAATGGCTCGTTTGCAACGCAGAGGTAACGAAATCGCGCGGGCTTCGGTGTGTATATGCGCAGTAGGACTAAGTAATAAGGTATGAAATATTATGAAAAACTTATGTGAATGAAGAGTTTCCTTAACTTATTTCCAAATTAGGTCGGCATTTGCCGACCTAATTCCCACCTGAGGTCGGCAAAACTCTCAATTCACATAATTTTCTCAAAATTTTTACATAAATCTGTTGTACACCTAAAGTTTACTACATGGTGAAATTTTGGTTCCGAAACTCCTCCTCTTGTCCTTGTTGGAGCCCAAAATGGCATCAGCAGCCCAGCTTTCTAAGATAGAAAGCGCGCCCCAGTCAATCGATACGCGCGGGAACGGCGTCTCTCATTCCTATGACTGCGTTTCTTTGATATTTTCTCATTCCCTAATCCTTTTTATTGCTTATTTTTCTTCCTGTTTCCTATCTTGGTACAGCAATTTGAGTAATATGAGGAATTTGAGCAATTTGGGCGCTTTTGAGCGCTTTTAGGCGAAGTGTGGCCGGTAATCTCGTCGCACAAGCACAAAACGTCATTTTTGGGCTCAAGGGAGTATTCGTAAAACTTACTGGGATCAAAGGGGTATTCGTTTTGGAAAACCCCGTTTGCCCACCTTGTGCCGGGCCCTGATTCGTATTCAAGGAAACGAGCATAGCAGCATGATCATCGCTCAAAAAGCAGCAACTTTACAATTAATTGAGAAAACTGTCAGCGTTCAAAAATTAGTTCAAGACGTCGGGAAAGCACAAAAAAATTGTTTGAGGTTGAATCAAGAGCTGCAGGTGCCGCGATGCTACAACCGTCGTGCTGTAGTTCAAATTCGAATTTGTTCACTAAGTGTCCAGTATGTTTATTATGTTTTTTGAAAGAGCATAAAAA